CGCTTCTTTCTTTCTTTTCTTTTCTTTTCTTTTTTTTTTAAGATGGAGTCTTGCTCTGTCATCCAGGCTGGAGTGCAGGGCACAGTCTCAGCTCATTGCAACCTCCATCTCCCGGGCTCAAGTGATTCTCCTGCCTCCACCTCCTAAGTAGCTGGGATTACAGGCACCCGCCACCTTGCCCAGCTTATGTTTCTATTTTTAGTAGAGATGGGGTTTTACCATGTTAGTCAGGCTGGTCTCAAACTCCTGACCTCAAGTGATCCACCCACCCTGGCCTCCCAAAGTGCTAGGATTACAGGCATGAACCACCACGCCTGGCCAATGTGCTTACTTCATACTGTGTGCCTGTATCAATCAAACCATCTCATGTACCCCATAAATAAACACACCCATAAAAATTTTTTTAAGAAGCTGTCCACGGATGGAATTCTAACTTTTTAATTACGTAAGAGTGAGCTCACCTGCCAAAACTGCCTCGGAAGGGCGGCCTAGAGCACAGAGATTGAGGAAGACGTGACATGACCTGGTGGCGCCTCGAGACTAATAGCCTCAGCACCGCACGGAACGTGGGGGCAGTTTGAGTTCTTGGGTCCCTCCCAACCTCTGAACGCTTGGGGTGAGCCCAGGGAGCCAGAGCCAAGTCTCTCAGGTGAGTGCACAGCATGGCCCCCTGTGGCTGGTGAACCGGTGGTGTCTGGGGGACAGGGTGGAGAAGGCCACTTCACTAGGAAGAAACACCCAGAAACTGCAAACCATGTGATCTGTTATTCAGCTAAATGGGTTAGTAATAAAAAGTCCCAGGAAGATAAATGATAGGCCAAGGGCTGGAGGCTGGAATGGAGAGGGAACGTCAGGCCCACAGACAGGCAGAGGTTGTGGCCAGAAAATGGAGGGAAAATCTACAGTTCCTGCACTTCCCAGCAGAAACCTCAGGACCAGAAGACAAAGCCTTCCAAGCCCTGTAAGGAACGCTTCCCCCTAGAATGCCCTACTCAGCCAGAAGTCATCTGAGACTGCAAAGCTCAGGAAGAGGACCCTGTAGGCCCCAGGACAGAGACTATCCCTTCCTTCGTTAGTAATTCCAATGTCTACAGACGCGTCTGACCAACGGCACTCACTCACCCACAGACGTGGCCACATGAGGACACTGGGGCCAAAGCGGAGGGTGCAGTTTCCAATATGCCTGTCACCCCTTTGGGGCTGGATGCTGGTGAAGAGATAGGCAACATGTGGCTCACCAAAGGGCACCCAGGGCTGGCGGAGCCACAGAGCAGCAGAAGGGTGGGTCCCCAGCACCACGGGCGGCCTGTTGGCTCTGGACTGCTCACAGCTGCATTGTTAAAACAAAGGAAAAGTCTTCTCTCTTGTTGAAGCCGTGCTATCTGGGGGGCAGCTGAGCCTTTGTTCCAGTGAACGTAGTGCTTTTCTTGGGGAGCCACTGGAGAACACGCTTCACCAAGACCAGCAAACAGGAAAATCGAAGATCCGTGAATCCAGGCATCCAACCCAGGGGAGTGGCAAGGACCGTCCCAGGAGAGCAGCTGACAGCAGGCACAGAATGAGCAACATGGAGGAGAGGACTGAAGGTGGAGCCCTGCAGGGAACACGGCAGGGACAGTTCCGTGGCAGCCAGACCGTACTGAGCGTCGTACGGAGCTGCTGAAGCACATGGAGCAACCATTGGCTATGGCAGTTAATAGTTTCAGCGAAAGTAATCATAGTACCCCACCCAACGAGCAGGGATGGGGCTCACGCATCCGAAACTTACACATCAGGGGACAGCAACAGAGCCTCATGCTTAGGAAGCTGAGTCCTGAACCAAAACCAGCAGCTACCCCTGCAGGAGCGAAGGGAGGAAGAGAGACCAACAAGCCCTCTGGATCCTTTCCACAATACTTAAGTTTAAAATAATTAACTTGAAAATAAAAAATAAAGTACCAAGGAAAAAAGCCAAGGCCTCCAAAAGGTAAGAAGCAAAGAATGCGTGTTGAAGGCTCCTCTGGGTCTGCCTTGAACAGGGCTACTAGATGACCCCCAGAACGTCCATCTCCCAAGGTCTGGACCCCCACAGGCATCTGCTAGGTCACTCCTTCAGTCTGCACAAACAAACATGGGGGTAGTGAAAGGGAGAACAGGGAGGAAACTGGTCTTTTCTGGGCTGGACCCTAGAACCCTAGCACTCTACGAAGGAGGGAAGGGGACCATGGAGTGACTCACTCAGGACTCAGGGAAGACAGAAACCAAAAACCAGGCTGGCCCTCTCCACATGGCCTTCAACCCAGAACCGCACAGACCCCGCCAACCCTCCTCCTGCATGGGATGGTAACTGTCCTCCACGCCCTCCATGTGGCCTTCAACCCAGAACCGCACAGACCCCGCCAACCCTCCTCCCGCATGGGACAATAACTGTCCTCCACACCCTCGGCCTCACTCCCCAGATCTTTTCTATTCCCCCAACTAAAGACAGGAGGTTCTGTATGTGCAACCAGAAAAGCAGCAATGAGCTCCTGTGTGGTGGGAGCACTGCATTCCACCTGCGATTTCAGCCAGAACAGCTCCTCCCGTTCCAAGGCAGCCTTCACGAGTTTATCGTCACCCAGACCTGTGTGTAAAGTCCTCAAGACCCAGGCTAGCCAATGTGTGGAAATCACAGAAAACGGGACTCGAGCGCAGCTATTCAGACACATCCGCACTCTAGAATTACAGAATCAAGGCTAAATTGGCATCCATTTCACCATTTTCTTCTGCAACTGGCATCTAGTGAATTACAGTTTAGGGAAGATTTTGATTCAAATGATTTTAGATGCCATTCTTGCCAACAGTACTCTACAGAAAAATACAATAAAAGCACAGTTTGTGTTTTCAACACGGCATTTTTTTATTCATTCATTCTTGGTGAGATACCAGGCCCTATAAGAGAAGGTTAAGCTTGGTAAAATTATTAGACAGATTCTTACAAATGGTGGGCACAAAATCCCTACTAAAATAGGCATTAAGTATTGTAAAGCCATTGTAAACACTTCTTACCACACATCTTAGCATGTGCCTGTATCAGAGAAGCAGCTGAGATACTGTAAATGAACATGACATGCTATAGACTTCCAGGGGCTTTTCCAATGATTCTTCCACTCCTGGCATCTCATTGATGCCTTTCAGCACATAAAGAAAGATTGGGCTTAAGGGTGTGCTAAGTAGACAGTGATGACGGAAATGCCACATTTAGTGAAATATGTCGACAAATTAGACTAATTTCACTAAATGCCACATGTAGTGAAATTAGTCTAATATGTCGACAAAATAAGCAAAAGTCGTAGCACAGAGTTTCACAAACTACAGGTACAATGGAGCTATAAGAGGCTCAAAGGCGATACTCAGAAGTGGCAGAAGCCTGGGATTGGGCTGGCCAGGCTCTGAAGAGGGAGCTGCTGCCCACCCTGGAATTCGAGAGAGGGGAGAGATGGGGACACTGAGGAAGGGGAAACAGGAAACACTTCTGAGGCGACAGCTGTTCTTAGGGCAGTGAGATACTGATTGTCACAATGCTCGTGGGCCTGGGAAGTTATAAAGCAGGGCTTCCCTTGGTGAGACCTTGGTTAATCAGATTTAAGAGCAGTGCAGCCAGAACTGAGTGGAAAGAGGAAAACAATCATGAAATAGAAAAAGGAAACCCAAAAGGGGATTCGTTTAAAAAAGAAACAAACTTTAGAAACATAGCTCCAGGGTTCAATGGACACACACCTGTAGTCCCAGCTACTCAGGAGTCTGAGGCAGGAGAGTCACTTGAACCCTGGAGGTAGAGGTTGCAGCGAGCCAAGATCATGCCACTGCACTCCAGCTCCAGCCTGGATGACAGAATGAGACCCCATCTCCAAAAAAAAAATTTACACATTATGAAAGTAAAAAGTGTCCATCTGTGAACCTAGAGCTAAGTCCTCCTGGGTTCCAGCTGTGCTTCTTAAACTCTGGGAAGCCGAGCTCGGAACTTTAAGGACTGTGTTGTTTGAGAAGGAATCTGTGCTTACTGGGAAAAGATAAATGCAAACATTAGAGGAAAGGCATTATTAACGAGCCACTGTCAGCAAGTCACAGTGCTACCCTCCAGAGACTTCAGTGCCCTGGCAAGGCCTGCCCCTGACCCAGGGCAGGCATTAAACATCTCACGACTGTAAGATCCCGAGGCTGCATGTGACCCTCCCCCGGGACACAGTCATCCATTTAACTTTCATCACCGACTTGAAAAACGGGCACCAACGTATTTTCTGGTTTGTTTTGTTTTTTTTGGGACAGAGTCTCACTGTCGCCCAGGCTGGAGTGCAGTGGTGCAATCTCAGCTTACTGCAACCTCCACCTCCCAGATTCAAGCGATTCTCCTGCCCCAGCCTCCCAAGTAGCTGCCACCACACCTGGCAAATTTTTGTGTTTTTAGTAGAGATGGGGTTTTGCCATGTTGTCTAGACCAGTCTTGAACTCCTGACCTCAGGTGATCAACCCAATGCGACCTCCCAAAGTGCTAAGACTACAGGTGTGAGCCACCGGCACCCGGCCTGTCAGTATATTTCTGTGATTTATTGTTCAACCTTTTTTTTTTGAGATAAGGTGTTACTCTGTCACCCAGGCTGAAGTGCAGTGGCATGATCACGGCTCACTACAACTTTAACCTCCTGGGCTCGGGTGATCTTCCCATCTCAGCCTCCCAGTAGCTGGGATCACAGGTGTAGGCCACCACACCTGGCTTTATTTATTTTTTTTGTAGAGACAGAGTCTCCCTACGTTGCCCAGACTGGTCTCCAACTCCTAAACTCAGAAGATCCTTCTGCTTCCATTTCCCAAAGTGCAGGGATTACAGGCACGGCCATTGCGCCTGGCCTATTATTAAAAGTTTAAATTTATGTTTCACCAAACACAAGAGCCTCCGCTGTGTCAGATGGCAGCATGGCTCCCAGAGGAACAACAATGACCCAAGGGACAGGAGTAGAACGGCCAGGCCACTTTCTTCTTACCTCCATGCACAAAGCCATGTAGGGTACAGTCTGAAGGCCCCACCAGGTGAATCAAGCTGGACTGGCTGTAGCTGACAGTGTTCGGCTCTGGAATTGCAAAGGAGAGAGATTAGTCGTGGGGTAGACTGACTGCCACAGCTGAAAGGTCTGGCAATGCCGTAACTACCCTGAGGTCTGCACAGTCAATGAATATGTCCAAAGGTGGTCAGCTATGATTTCTCTAAGGAAAACCAGGATCTCCAAACAGGCTACAGTGGGCGAAGGAGAGGCTTTCAAGAATTCATGAGCCATTCTGTTAGTGGGTCCTGAGGAGACTCTCTGGGGCCATCAGTGCCCTGCAAGGCCCCGCCCAGGGGTAGCCACTAAGCCTCTCAAAGCTGTGAGGTTGCGCGTGACCCTCCGCTGGGCTGTAGTTAACATCGGACTTGCATTTCCAATTTTATGAGAAGTATCACAGTGTTTCTGTAAGTTACTACACCGGCCTGAGAATGTACAGCTCTGAACGGTGCTAGCTCTTCCCTCTAGCTGGCCCCTGCCCCATTCACCCCTCTATCGCCTCACTCTTGCGAATGCCTTCGGGGAGCTTCAGTCACCCAACACTGCAGTGCTCCTGAACTATCTTTAAGAGGCTGCACTTAAGAAAAAAAGATGAAATATAGCTTCCAGTCTCTGGAAGGCAGAGCTTTCTCTTTTTTTTAGAGACGGAGTCTTGCTCTGTTGCCCAGGCCCAAGTACAGGGGTGCAATCTCAGCTCACTGCAGCATCCACCTCCCAGGTCCAAGCGATTCTCGTGCCTCAGCCTCCTGAATAGTTCAGATTACAGGCATGTGCATCCACATCCAGCTAATTTCTGTATTTTTTGTAGAGACGGGGTTTCACCGTGTTGGCCAGGCTGGTCTTGAACTCCTGACCTCAGGCGATCCACCTGCGTCAGCCTCCCGAAGTTCTGGGATTATAGGTGTGAGCTACCGCACCCAGCCAGAAGGCAGACCTTTCTCAACACTGCTTTTTCTCACAGGATGGAGATAAAACCCACGAAAGATCCCCTGGGCAGACACCTGTGTAAACCAGCCTGGCGTGCACACCCACCCTCTACCCCCAAGGCCTTCCGGTCAGTGACGAGATTTCGTCTGTTCCCTGCCCAGGACAGCTGGCACTCAGAAAGGGTAGCTCATTCCTGCCCAGCCAGCCCTGAGCTGTTGAACATGCCAGCCCACTGGGCCACGAAATGACTAGGACTCATTTCAGATTAATACAGGTCCTTTCTAGGTCTGGCCTTTGGCAAGTAATGTTTCTCAGCAGCCAAAAAGCTGGTGGGATGAAGGGTGGTCCTGACCCTGAAGTTGATACCTGGGGTCTCCTAAGTGTCCAATGTCATTTCTTTCTTTCTCTCTTTTGTTGTTGTTGTTTTTGAGATGGAGTTTCTCACTTCTTGCCCAGGTTGGAGTGCAATGGCACGATCTCAGCTCACTGCAACGCTCACCTCCCTGGTTCAAGCGATCCTCCTGCCTCAGCCACCTGAGTAGCTGGAACTACTGGTGTATACCACCACACCCGGCTGATTTTTGTATTCTTAGTAGAGACGGGGTTTCACCATGTTGGTCTTAAACCCTGACCTCAGGTGATCCACCTGTCTCACCTCCCAAAGTGCTGGGATTACAGGTGTGAGCCACCACTCCTGGCCCAAGTGTCATTTCTGAGGCTCTGATGTGCCTCTAGGTCATGGGCTAATTTGTGTCCCCCACAAATCATATGTTGAGGTCCTGACCTTGAGTGCCTCAGAATGTGACTGAATATAAAGAAAGGATCATTAAAAAAGTAACTAAGTTAAAATGAGATCATGAGGGTGGGCTGGTGTCTTCACAAGAGAAGGAGGTGAGGACAGACCCATACAGGGCAAAATGGCATCTACAAGCCCAGCAGAGAGGCCTCGGGAGGCTCCAGCCTGCCAACACCTTGTCCTTGGCCTTCTAGCCTCCAGGACCGTAAGACAAATTTCTGCCGTTTTGGTGGGCACTCGTTACAGCAGTGCCAGCACACAGGTACACTCCACACACACAATTTCAAACTGGTTCCTCTGCCTTCTCTCCTGGTCACTGCTAGCCACCATGTGAGCTTCTTCATTCCTGCCCTGCACTCGCCCTCATGCCAAGGTGTGTGGGAAAAGTAGCCTGTCATGGAGTCAGAAGCAGAGTGGAGGAGCCCCTTCCAAGAAGCCACATTCTAGGCACCACCACATTCTAGGGACCGCCCCACCCAACACACACTCCTGAATGTGCATCAAGAGGCCCTTGCATCTGGGCCCCTCTGGGAGCTGGCTCAAAGCCAACCAGACTCCTCCGAGCACCAAGGCTTCTGAGAAGGATCCCCTGGGGGCCCCGACGTCCCTGTGCTGCAGTCAGTTCACACAACCTGTGTCTTGGTCCAAGGGAGGCGATGCCCATTCTCCCACCTGCCGCTTCAGTGTGGGCCTGCCGGGGTCTAGGGGTGTCCAAAACCAGCCTGCAATTGCTGAGGGCACCTTGGGCCTCAGAGGAATTGAGCATGCCCTGAAACCTACAATAGCATGAGGGGAGGGGCTCTGAGAAGAGGCCAGAAATGTGGGGCATTAAAAGACTAGAAAAGCCTACTGTTGATTGATCTGGGAACTGAAGGAGACTGAAATCCAAAGCCCATTAAGACTCAGCCTTGTGTCGAAAATCAGATTAAGGTGTGGTTTACCCAGCCATGTGTGTCTTGAGAGTGAGAAAGACAGTGGAGTGAAGCGGGATGGAAAAGCAACGACATACACCAGGTTGGGGCATTACACTTGGAAAGAATGCTGGGTGTGGCTCCCATCACGTGGAACTGACTGGAGGCAACAGATCAGACGCCTACCAAGTTTACGAGAGTCTGATGTTGCCTGGACTGAAAAAAAGCTTTTGACTATGAAAACCCTAAAGTAACCTCCCCAAACCTAGACAGGCAGGAGGCGGGCTGACATTTCCCAGTGCCCACTTGGATGAGGCCATAGAGGATAATCAACAGGGAAGAATCTTCGAGGAGGCTGAGCCAGGGACCATGCAGTTCCTCCATAAGAGCGGAATCAGGGTCTTACCAAAGACCCTTCCCCATGGCCACAGCTCAGACCCTGGCAAGAGTCATCTCTGCTTGGGCCAGGGGCTCCTGGGTAGCTCCCGTACTTTGCTTTCCTAAATGAGTGTGCTCTTCTGTTCCCTCTTCCGCTGCCGTACAAAGGCTGCAAGTGCAGATAACTCATCATCTCAGTTCATCGGCTGCAGGAACGTGAAGAATTGCATCTGAACACGATGGAGAAGATTGCGTGCATATAGCCAGCTGCTACGCTCTGAGGTCAGCACAGGGGCCAGCCAGAAATTCAGGCAGTCATCCTTGAGGGTGAGGTGCTCCGAGTGTGCAACGAATACGACGGATCTGGTGACTGGAGGGGCAGGACCAGGCAGAGATGACCAAGCCTGTCTCCACACACAGCAGGGCCTGCCCTGCCTCCTCTGCAGTGGGTGTGGAAATACCACTTACGTCCAGGGTGTGAGCAGAGTGAAATGCTGCTTCCAGGCCTGACCCACGGAAACCTCAGATGTGTGAGCCTCCCCACTCTGTCCCCTCCGAAGGTAACCATCAAAGCTACCCATTAAAGATAGTGGAGGTACAGGACTGAAGGGGCCTGAATCCCCACATCGCTACCATTTGGAGGAAATCCAGCCCATTAGGAAAGCCTGATTTGGACTTTACCTAAGCAGGATGTGAACCTCAGCTGCGGGACCCGCGAGGGTTTTCGGGTTTGTCTGCTGCAGCAGTGAGCAAGACCTTGACCAATGCCGTGCCCAATCTTCAAACCTGTAGTTTCAAAATGATGTGAGGAGCCTGAACCAGGCCCTCGGGTAGCAGTGGGCGAGCTTTCCACAGCCATAACACAAAACTCTCCTTTCTGGACCCTGTCCTATGTGACAAGCAATTTCCAGGGCTTCATGGGTGTTGGGTGTTTATGTCATCTTCACAAGCCTATGGTTTCGGTTTCAGTTTCACCATCTCTGGTTCCAGCTGAGGAAACTGAGGCACGGAGAGGTTAAATTCCCATGAAGGCAGCAGAGCTGGGTTCAAACCTAGGCGGTACAACTCCAGCACCTCCCTTCCTCCCCCATCCTCTCTTGCTTCCCCCATGCCCCCAGCCCCCAAACTACTGCTTATGGGGGCAGGAATATGGGCCTGGCCAGAGGGCCAGAGGCGTCGGGTAGAAGGCGCTTCAGACCCTGGACCGACCTCCAGGCCTGGCCACGCTTACCACGCTCACACCCTTGTGGATGGCTCAGGGCAGATCTTCCTGGGACTTGGCCAGAGCACTGCCTGACCCCAGGCAGCAGATCCCAACCCAGGAGCCAGGGACTAGGCGACCTAACAAGACCCCATCTGCACTGGAAAGGCTGGACCAGGCCTGGAAGTGAACACTATTTTCAACCCAAGGGCCAGGGATGAGGCAGGTCCCTGGAACTTGTGTGACGCAGGGCTAATTTTGTCATAAGCCCTAAAAATGGACAGCCATATGGCTGCACAGTCCCTACATGGTCGAAGCTGGACAGCCGACAGCTATGAATCCAAGGAGCTCATGGTAATTTCATTTTCTCTTGTAGATAGAGAAAACAATAAGGATAACTGGCCTTTAAAAAATTATATATTGGGCCGGGCACAAAGGCTCACGCCTGTAATCTCAACACTTTGGGAGGCCGAGGCGGGCAGATCACTTGAGTCAGGAGTCTGAGACCAGTCTGGCCAACATGGCGAAACCCCGTCTCTACTAAAAACACAAAAAATTCACCGGCACAGTGGTGCATGCCTGTAATCCCAGGTACTCAGGAGGCTGAGGTACCAGAATCACTTGAACCCGGGAGGCAGAGATTGCAGTGAGCCGAGATCACACCATTGCACTCCAGCTTGGGCAACAGAGTGAGACTCTGCCTCAAAAAAAAAAAAAAAAAAGCCAGCCATGGTGGTTCACGCCTGTAATCCCAGCACTTTGGGAGGCCAAGGTGGGTGGATCACCTGAGGTCAGGAGTTGGACATTAGCCTGGCCAACACGGTGAAACCCTGTCTCTAAAAATACAAAAATTACACTAAATTACAACATAATTACACTAAAAATACAAAGATTAGCTAGGCATGGTGGCGTGCCTGTAATTCTAGCTACTCAGGAGGCTGAGGTAGGAGAATTGCTTGAACCTGGGAAGCGGAGGTTGCGGTGAGCTGAGATCGCGCCACTGCACTCTACACTCTAGCCTGGGTGATGGTAAAACACCGTCTCAAAAAAAAAAAAAAATTATTGACTAATGACAGCTGTATATATTGGACAACGGGCTTTTAAGGAACTCACAGACTCTGAGCTAACTGAAAGAGAGGCTGCCCCTGTGGAGGTTGCTAGGCAACAGTCTGAACTCTGGCTCTAAGATGAGATTCGGGATGTGGGAGGTGCAGGGGCTGGGAGGAGGCTAGTCAAAGGGCAAGACACCCTCTCCAGGGCAGAGAGGGAGGGTCCTCCCACAGGAAGGGACAGCATGTCACACCCGTTAGAAAGACCCCAATGTCGCCGGGCACGGTAGCTCAAGCCTGTAATCCCAGCACTTTGGGAGGCCGAGGCGGGTGGATCACGAGGTCAAGAGATCAAGACCATCCTGGCCAACATGATGAAAACCCGTCTCTACTAAAAAATACAAAAATTAGCTGGGCGTGGTGGCGCGTGCCTGTAGTCTCAGCTACTCAGGAGGCTGAGGCAGGAGAATTGCCTGAACCCAGGAGGCAGAGATTGCGTCACTGCAGTCCAGCCTGGCGCCTAGCAACAGAGCAAGACTCTGTCTCAAAAAAGAAAAAAAAGAAAGACCCCAACGCCAAGGACACACACACACTTCTCCCTGAGCTGCTGTTCCCCATTGACCAGGACACCCCTCCCAAACCCAAACTCACCCACACTGAGCCACCATACAGGAGACCAGGCTGGTCTCAGGAGCATACCCCTGGCTCCCGAGGGCACTGGGCAGCCCTGACAGGGAGGACCAGTCTAGTCCTGCCATTGAGATGCCAGCTCCACCCAGCAATGAGAGTCAGAGATGCAGATGATCAGATATACTCAAGAAAGAATGGCCACGAGACTTCCTCAGAAACGTTTAAAAGCCAAGTCTCTAATCCAATCATCTGAGGAAGATGCATTTTTATAAAACAAAAAAGTAAAAATAAAAGCACATAAAAATCAGGAAATCTTGAGATTCAGAAGGCCCACTCTGAATGATATTGAATACTACATTCTGAAAAATGTCATGTGTAAATTGACAGCCAATCAGAGGCTGGCAAACAACAGAATCCCACGAGCAAAGGAATTTAAACTTGATTCAAAATCTTGAGTAATTTTAGTGTCCCTGAAGGTCAGTCAAAGGCAGAAGCTAGGATCTAATCCAGGTATCCCCAGACTTTTTACACAGGGGGCCAGTTCACTGTCCCTCAGACCGTTGGAGGGCCGCCACATACTGTGCTCCTCTCACTGACCACCAGTGAAAGAGGTGCCCCTTCCTGAAGTGCGGCGGGGGGCCGGATAAATGGCCTCAGGGGGCCGCATGCGGCCCACGGGCCATAGTTTGGGGACGCCTGATCTAATCCATGCCTCTCAAAGCCAGAGTCAGCCCGGCAGCGCTGCCCACTTCCTCAGCCCGCCATGGTCTGGCACCGGCCGAAAGCCCTCTCCAGAAACTGCTCATGAAAAGGTAGGTGCAGGCAGCCCCCATGTTCCACCCAGACCCTCTCCTCCATGCCCCCTTTGTGTTAGGCAAGACTCGGCCTCTGATCCTCTCTTACAAGGGCACCTGTCACTGGATTTGGGGCCCACCTGGGTAATCCAGATGACCTCATCTCAACCTCCTTAGTGTAACCCTATCTGCAAAGACCCATTTTCCATGTAAGGTCCGATTCACGGCTCTAGGTATTTGAACGTGGACATATCTTCTGACCCTGAGCATCGTGCTGGTGCGTTTCCCAAGACACCTTCCCTCCTTTGCATCCCATCACGGTCCTTGGGGCCTGTGTCTGACCTGCCTGCTGGGCTGCCCTCCCAAAAGCAGAGCCTGGGCACTGTCTATCCCAGCACATGCCTCCAAGCCTGTCTGGTGTATTGCTGTGTTGAGAAATTCGCTGTCTATTTAAATTTCGTTTTGTTTTTTTTTTTTTTTTGAGACGGAGTTTCACTCTTGTTACCCAGGCTGGAGTGCAATGGCACGATCTCGGCTCACCGCAACCTCCGCCTCCTGAGTTCAGGCAATTCTCCTGTCTCAGCCTCCTGAGTAGCTGGGATTATAGGCACGCGCCACCATGCCCAGCTAATTTTTGTATTTTTAGTAGAGACGGGGTTTCACTATGTTGACCAGGATGGTCTCGATCTCTTGACCTCGTGATCCACCCGCCTCGGCCTCCCAAAGTGCTAGGATTACAGGTTTGAGCCACTGCGCCCGGCCTTAAATTTCATTTTTAAAACGTATCTCAGGCCGGGCACGGTGGCTCACACCTGTAATCCCAACACTTTGGGAGACCGAGGTGGGTGAATCATGAGACCAGCCCGGCCAAGATGGTGAAACCTTGTGTCTACTAAAAATACAAAAATTAGCCGAGCATGGTGACGTGCGCCTGTAATCCCAGCTACTTGGGAGGCTGAGGCAGAAGAATTGCTTGAACCCAGGAGACAGAAGTTGCAGTAAGCTGAGACTATGCCACTGTACTCCAGCCTGGGCAACAGAGCAATACTTCATCTCGGGGGAAAAAAAAAAAAGGTATCTCTTCACTGGGGTTTCATCAAAGCAGCACCATTCTTTCTCTCAATACTGATAAATTAGTTTTCTTTCTTCTCTCTCTCTCTCTCTCTTTCCTTCCCTCTCCTTCCTTCCTTCCTTCCCTCCTTCCTTCCTTCCTTCTCTCCCTTCCTCCTCCCTCCTTCCTCCCTCCTTCCTTCCTTCCTTCAATGTGAAAAGAGAAGAAACCTACAGCAGATTCCCCAACAGTAAAGAAACCAACCTACCCAGTCCCACTGACCTAAGGTGACAACCAGTCCGCTTTTGGCAAGTTGAGGCTGGAGCACAGACTGGGTCAGAGACACAAATGTGACGCAAAGACACACAAAGCCCTGTCCAAGCCTCAGGCTGACCCATCTGGAAGTCAAGCACATGCCTGCTGTGCGCCAGCAGCCTAGCCCGGAAAGACGGGTGGTAATCTGTGCTTTCTCCAGTCCCCCCAGTCCCCCTTGATGCTGATGTGGATGAGGCCAGGGAGGTGGGCAGCCGGAACAATGCCCTGGGTCCGGGTTAGCAGGGCCAGGGCGCCTCTCCAGCAGGGCTGGGAGCAGGTGGACCCCAGAGTGGAGCCCATGACACGGGCACATCCCAGGGGAAAGGGGATTACTTGAGGCAGGTCCTGACCGCGGCTGAGGGTGGCGGCAAAACAGAGAAAGTCGAGTCAGAAACTCTAACACCTGCCATGGCCAGGGTCCCTCAAGGGGCGGTGGGGGTCAGCAAACCCTCCGCAGGCTGCATGAGGACGGCGCCCTGTGGAACCCAGCACAGAGCATGAATGCGCCGCAAGCCCAGGCCGTCGCAGGGAGGCAGAGAAGCACACAGTGCATTTCAGAGGGAGTTCTCCCGCCACGATTACAACGTGACCCCCATGTGTGCAGTGGGGAGACGGGTAACACTCACTGCCTGCCCCCGAAGGCTCACCCTGTTCCTGAAGGAACTGACGCTCCCCAGGGCCCCTGCCCTGAACTGTTTCCAGTTCCCTGGGTAGAAAGTCCTTGCTTGAGGGAAAACAACTCGTCGTGCATTTGTTTGGATTTTGGATGAACATTTTGTGAAAGCCAGAGCATCGCGACATGAGGGCAAGAGGATGGATGGAGAGAAGGGACCAACACTGCAGGGAAGCTGGGCACATACAGAGCCCAGTGCCCGACTGGCAGAGCCACTCCCCCAGTCAATATCTGAACAGCAGAGCTGAGAATAGTGCCGCTTGAATAACTGCTGCCGTTTTTTCTTTTTGGGATGAGCTGGAAATCCCATCAAGAACAAGGGACCTGGCCGGGTGCTGTGGTTCACACTTACAGTCCCAGCACTTTGGGAGGCCAAGGCAGTCTCATCACTTAAGGTCAGCAGTTCAAGACCAGCCTGGCTAACATAGTGAAATCCTGTCTCTACTAAAAACACAAAAAATAGCCTGGCATGGTGGCACGTGCCTTAATACCAGCTATTCAGAAGGCTGAGGCAGGGTTCAATTGCTTGAACCCAGGAGGCAAAGGCTGCAATGAGCCAAGATTGTGCCACTGTACTCCAGCCTGGATGACAGAGTGAGACTGTCTCAAAAAAAGAAAGAATAAGCCACTGAGTGAACACGAGAAAAAGACACAACAAAAACCAATTCCCTGTGAACAGGTGCAGCCGCCTACCTGGCAATGGAGGCGCCATGTTCAGTGCCCTCTTGGGAATCGCTGAGGTGCTCAGGTCACTTTCCAGCTGTGTGACTGGAGGGGTCTACATGGCTCAGGGCAGGGCTAGGGGACAGCCCTCCCTGGGGACCCCAGAGAGACCAGTGCGCTCAGCACCTGGGGACCCTCGAACAGGAGGCTCACGTAGGCCTGGTCAGCTCCTGCCTCCTGTGCGTCCCCAGGGCGGAGAGGCAACTGCTGCTGGTGCCCGCGGCTCTCACCTGGGTTGAGGACTGGCTGGACGATGTCCCCGTTCCTCCACTTGGTCTCCATGCGCTCCAGCTTCTGGGCTTCGTATCGCTTCCGGCCCTCCTCCTCCTGCTCCTGCCGGGAATACTGCGGGAAACCAGAGACAGGTCAGGCCCAGGTGGGACACGGCCTCCTCCCCTTGCCCAATGGCCACAACCCCAGGCCCCTTATGTCACATAGCCTTTTGTAACTGAGACTATTTTTTCTTCTGTTCATGTGTGTTTAATATAAGTAATAAGAACACAGAAAGAGAGAATCCCAGGCAGCTCCACTCCCCAGAGACAACCTGGGTCAGATGTTTGGTTTAGATCTTTCCTGGACTTGCTTTTGTGCCCGCAAATAGATAAAAAGCTCTATGGTGCTGTATGTGGAGTTTAAAAGCAACTGTGTTTTGCTACTTCACTGTATCATTTAACATGATTTTTCTAACTATGCGGGCACTTATTCCCAATTTTTCTTTATTTTTAAAATTTATTTTATTGATTTTTGAGACAAGAGTCTTGCTCTGTCCCAGGCTAGAGAGCAGTGGTGTGATCTTGGCTCACTGCAACCTCTGCCCTCCGGGTTCAAGTGATTATTCTGCCTTATCCCCACCGAGCAGCTGGGACTACAGGCGCGCACCACCACGCCCAGCTAATTTTTGTACTTTTAGTAGAGACCCAGCTAACTTTGGTATTTTTAGTAGAGATGATGGTTTTACCATGTTGGCCAGGATGGTCTCGATCTCTTAACCTCGTGATCTGCCCACCTTGACCTACCAAAGTACTGGGATTACAGGTGAGCCACTGTGCCTGGCCCCCAATTTTTCACTATTAAAACCACACCGATCCTAGGTTACTTATAATCATTTTGCACTACCCCATTCCTTCCTAGGATTCATTCCAGAATAAAGGGACCCTCAAAAAAGGCCCCATCCACTCTCCCAGGGCCATGACTGAACAGAGGCTCTGTGTGTCACTGCTGACCCTTGTCAATTGAGCAGGCTGTATATTTGCAGAGAACAGGCAGTCAAAGACGGAATCATCCTCCCAAGACTCTCTTAATGGATCACAGGGATTTTGACCCCAGAAGTTAAAAATAAATGTGAATATAAAACTCAGCACAGCCCAGGCATGGTGGCTCGTGCCTGTAATCCCAGCACTTTGGGAGCTTGAGGCAGGTGGATCACTTGAGATCAGGAGTTTGAGACCAGCCTGGCCAACATGGTGAAACCACAATCTCTACTAAAAATACGGAAATTAGCCGGGTGTGGTGGTGGACAAATGCAGTCTCAGCTACTCGGGAGGTTGAGGCAAGGGAATCGCTTGAACCTGGGAGGCAGAGGTTGCAGTGAGCTGAGATCACACCACTGCACTCCAGCCTGGACAAAGTCAGACTCCAACTCAGCACAAAAAAAGACTCAGCACAAAAACCAAAGCTCCTGAGTCCTGGGACACAACAGGGGGTCTGCATTTCTTGGACATAACAGTTCATCACTGCCCTCCTGTGCGCAGTGGAGGGGACACACCACACTCCCTCCCCATGGGACCCTCTGTGTGCAGACCCTCTGCCTCCTCCGTCCCCCAGGATCCTCCCCCTCCCCGCTCCACCAGGCCCTCCTGGCTGACCTCCTCCTGGCCATTCTGATTAGCCTCGACTTTGGCTCTCACGTTCACTCATCTAACAATTCCAGCTGAGCCTGTGGGGAAGCCACAGAACTCAAGGCCCCTCTGGGCCCCTCTCAGCCGCCTGTTAAAGCCCCTCTGACCTAAACAAGTTCACTCCAGGCAGCTGTGTTAGGCTTTCTTTCAAAAGCCAGTTGTAAACATCCCGATAAGTCCTGCTCATGGCTCAGCTCCAAAACTGCGCAGAGCCTGAACACCATTCTTTGGGTTAATTACCCATCATCTTCAGTTGAGAATCCATCTTTAAAAGAGGCTGAGAAGGGAACTGAAGGGTTTCTTCAAAAGAAGCAAACCATGGGGAGTGTTTTAAGTTGCAGTGGGTAATTCAACATTTTCCTCCATAAATAAACCATGTCCTAATGTTCCATCGGCCAAGTAACGACAGAGAGGAAAGCTTGTGCTGTGCCTACCTAGGAACACTGATGGGTGAATTCAGCATCCTCAAGAAATGCCTTTTAAAGGGATTTTTTTTTTTAAAGGAGCTAGCCCCCGGTCTAATAAATCCTTGCGGCATCCAACACATTCGTCTGCGCTTGGCAGGCGCACAGGGAAATGATGGGGCCCCGCCCTGGACACAAGCCACAAGAAGAAGCCCAGCCTCCCCGCCAACGCTGCCTTTCAATCTGGGAACAAAACCGCTGGAACATTTTAATGATGGCTGGCACCTAACTCTCACCCCCGAGGGCTCATCAAACCCAACTGATCTGAAGCAGCAGACAGCGCGGCCCAAATGTCTGAGACAGGCTGTGAACTCTTCACTTGAGCACACATTCAGACATTTGAAACAAAACAAAGCATCCACCCCCAGTGGCTACACAGCCTGTCTAGGGCTGCGGCTGTCCCTCCGGTCATCCTGGGGCCGCTCTAGCCCATCACAGGGCCACTGAGGTTCCCGGCTCACTGGGAAAGCTATGGCCTCTGCCAGGCTGGGGAGGAAGGCAGAACAAAGACAAGACGCCCTACAATAGACACCTGTGCACACAGCCAGCGGCTGGGTTCCTCCAGGGAGATGCACACATCCAGGAAACCAGAGTGTATGTGTGTGTGTGTGTGTGTGTGTGTGTGCGCGCACGCGCGTGCGTGTGTGTGCATGCACGCATGTGTGTTCAAGATATCTAAAAGCATATGTATGTGATATCCCTATAGTATGTGAGTATGTATTATACATATCTGCATATCTATAGATACAGGGATGTATGCTTTCCTAAGTCAGTGATGGCTGCCTGTAGAAAGGTCAGCAGGAGATGCTCATGAAATATAAGACAGCCTGGTGGCCAGGCCACCAGCAGATGAGCATAAATACCTATCGGAGCCAGGGAAGGAAGCTGCACTTTCCAGGATTCCTAAGCAGGTCTGTGGCTGGGCCTGCCAGTGAAAAACAGGAGACCTAGATTCCAAATCAACGGAAGGGTTATACTGAATGGGCCTAGCATGTGTTGGGGGATGATGGTGCAAACAGCTCTTAGCAACAGCCGCAGCTGAGAACTGTGCAGCCTCTCCCATCTGCAGCTCTGGCTGCCCCGGCTCTGCGGAATGGTTTCAACAACCCCTCAGCAAGGCCAAATTGATACTTATGTCTCATCAAACCCCACTACACAAAGGAAATGAAAAAGCAACAGGGGGCTCCTCCAGGATGTGGGAGGGAGGGAGCTAATTACCAGGCAAGGAGAGGGGAGGCTAAGAGGGGCCACACTGAAAGTGCCCTGTCCCTGCAGCAAGGGGACAGGAGGCAGGGAAGTCTGAAGCCACCCATCCCTTTCACCAGCCAAAGACCCAACAGCCCTTGGCACATAGATCCTATCAGCAACAAGCAGCAAAAGCAACCGCGTTCAGGTCCGGAACTGCCCCTTGGTATCACCCGCCTGAGATGTACCATGAGATGCCGAAGCCAGGCACGGGGACTGGGAGAGAATTTAGAACTGGGTAGCGTCCGAAAATTAAATCTGTTAAATGCTGTGTCTCAATGTTTACATGTGATGTGGCTCACTGAACGCCAAAGGGCTTAGAGAAGAGAATGAAGGAGGGGTGGGTGCGCTTGTGATCCTGCAGAGAACAGTCAGGAGTCTCCAGCTGACCCCTGTGCCTTAGGTTTTCAGCCATCCCCAAGTTAGCACTGCTTGACAATGACTACAGTTTCCATCTCAGCCAAGAAGCAGGGAGAGAGAACAGCCCTGCAAAGAACGAGGGAGAAAGGGGGGAGAGTGTTGAACTGACGGCTGGTGCACTAGGTTGAACAGAGTCCCTCAAAATGCATATCCACCTAAAACCTCAAAATGCAAACACTTCCAAACCCGGGTCTTTATAGCTGTGAATAGTTAGAATGAGGTCACAGCGGAATGGCATGGGCCCTAGGCTCCGTGACCCGTGTTCTTGTAAGCAGGCCACGCACAGGCGGAGGCAGAAGCTGGAGTGACGCAGACTCAGCCAAGGGACCCCTGGAGCCACCCAGAGCTGGAGAGGCCAGGAGGGATCCTTGCCTGGAGCCAGGGGAGGGCGCAGGGCCCTGCCCACACCTTTGGACGTCTGGCCTCCAGAACTATGAGAGAGCTACCCAGGCGGTGGCACTTGGCCACAGCAGCCCCGGGACACTGACTCAGGCGGAAGCTTGAGACCTCAGACTCTATACCCTGACCCTGAGCCCCTGCCTGCTGGCCAGATTCTAGCGTGCTGCCATCCTGGTCTCATAAAACTAGAGCTGCAGCCACCAGCCTACCCCTCCTGTTAAAAACGGACAAGGTTCCCCTGTCACCAAGATTTCAAAAAAAACATCTAGGGCAGACAGCAGCCAGTCACCTCTACCTGGGGAAACATCCCTCCCAGACCTTGACGGCTATCTGAGGAGACCCCAGCAGAGTGTCCAGTCAGACATGGAGATGGGGACAGCAGAGATGGCAGGAAGCAGGTCTCAGGGAGCACCTCCCCCATCTCACAGGGCAGTGGCAGCAGGGAGTGAGACACCATCATCCCTGGTGACCCAGGGCAACGGGAAGACGGAGAGCCAGGACTCCTACAGGCGAGAAACGCCCTGAGCCCTGCAACACTGCAGAGGGGACCAGGGCATCTGGTGGCGTCAGGGGAGCCCAGGGTCTGGAAGCAAAAAGAGCAATTCCTGACAATCTGGTTCTCAGTTTTATTATTTCTAAAAATGTATTCTATATATATCTTAGCCAGAGGAAAAGCTCCCTGCCGGGGCCCACACTGCAGAGACGCAGAATCCTGGTTCCCTCCAAGAAGAGCTCCCCCTGGGAGCTGAGGCCTGAGGACTTCAGGGTCAGGCTGGGGGACGAGCTGGTCACACCTGTCCCTGGACTCGCCAATGAACTTGGGGGCACAGGAGCAGGAGGCGAGGGAGTACTTTTAGGATATGAATGCAATCTCTTTATTCCCAATGTCTGCCCTCCAAGAGTCTATACGCACAGCTTCCACAGGTTTCAGCCACACGCCGGCCCAGGGCGGGACCCCTCCGACAACACAATGAACGGGTATGATGACAGGTGCTTCCGTCCACAGCAGAGCCAGAAATGAGAGAAACCCAGGGAAGGAGGCAGATACCAGCAGGGGACAAGGAGGGACAAACAGAAGCTCGTGTGAGAGCTGTCTCCACGGCCACTGCGGCAGAAGCAGAGATCAGAACCAGCTCACAGGGCCATGGCGGGAGCCGCCAGCTCGGCCAGGCAGCCTGGTGGTCCTGACTCCCAAAAGAAGGACGCATCACTATCACGATCTTGTCACCGCCTTTTCTCTGCTTAGGGAGTGTGACAAGAAGGTCCCTAGGTTGGAGAGATGTCTACGCCCACATGTTCTGGGCCCGCTTGCACTCACACTCCAAGCATGAATTCAACGCACACTGGAAGCTCCGACACCGACATGTCTCCTCCCACCCATGTTTCCTCGGAGGCAGGACAGAAACTCCTGCGGAGCCCGGGATGCCCTGCCCGGCCCAGAGGGCACACTGCCTGCTGACGGACCTGGCCCCTGAGCCCCAGTTCTGGCCAGTTGCTCCCTTAGGACACTCAGCTGAACGAGCCTCCCACTATCAGGTGAGGTGACCTGGTCTCTGCCATCTGCCCCCAAGAGCGAAGCGGAAGGGCACCTTACCACAACAGGAGGCACCTCCAGGACCTTGTCCACATTCTTCAGCGACAGGGGCACATACCAGAGGGTGGCCTTATTGGTCAGCTTTTTGGCACCTTAAGAGAAGAAAATCACATCAATGATGCCCAGGAGACAGGGTGCTGCTCCAGTGCCCGGTCCCAGCACCTGAAACACACCTCACTGTGTACCACCTCTTCTGGCCCCCAACCCCCAAGGCCTTTTCAGCATCCTGGCCAGGGGGCGTTGCTACCATCATGTGAGCATGGACAAACATAACCAGAGACCCCAGGGCCCAAGGAGAGAGGCTGCGTGGGGCCCACCCTCATCACAAGGTGTGACCCCCACAGCTAGCTTGAGCTCAGGACCCCAACCCCTCCCCAGGCACCCACTTTGGTCAGTTTTCCCTTTCCAGGGGCTACTGAAAAGACTTCAGACCATGTGGTTTAAGCCTGGATGGTCTGGAGCTGGTCAGCCCCATCCAATAGGGATCACCCAGGGAACAGCAACTCCAGGCAACCTCCTCTTCCTGGTGTTTTGACAGAAAGGAAGCTTGATTATGAAAACACATCAGAAGCTCCCGATGAGCCCCCCAAACAGAAGGGAAGGACTGACTGGCTGTATTTGGGGAGACAAGGCTGAGCCCGTTTCACCCATTGGCTCAAGCCTCCACCAACTGTTCGCTGCTGACATCGAACGTCAAAATCAAAAGCTCCTCGCTGGGGAACGTGATGTCCTCACGCTCTGACATGCAGCGTCTTCTGCAGATCCCATCCACCTGCCTAGGCACTGCCAAGAACGCCCCCCAGACAGGAAGCCAGGAAAGACAGTTGGCTCACACAGATGCGCACGCTGCAGAGACTCAGGGGGATGTGGAGGCTGTGCCCAGGCAGAGCAGCCCAGGGGAGGGGTGGGGAGATGGCCAGGGCCCCCACAGCCCAAAGCACAGAGCAGCAGAGCCAGCTCATCAAAGCCCCATTTTTGCCACCTCAGGAACTTCCTTTCCTTCACACCAGACACTGGGGTGCTGCCAGCACATCCAAAGCTCCACCAGAAGCTTCCGGGTGCCGAGAGATGGGCTGTAGGCTGCTGACTCCTTGGGGCACTGGGCTGAGCCACAGAGCAAAGTGGGGCTGCAGGACAGGGTGGCCTGTCCGGGCTGAGAAACACAGGCTCGTGGCCTGTCGGGGCTAAAGGAGCCTGGAGATCCCTGGTGTACATCCCTCACTTGTACAGAAGGAGCCTGAAGCCCAGAGACGTCAAGGGGTTCACCTAAGGTCACACAGCAACTTGGTGCCACACTCCCATGTCCCAGTCATTTCAGAGAAGTGTCTGCAAGAATTCCTTTAAAAAGTGGCTTTGTCAGGCTCAGTGGCTCACACCTGTAATCCCAGCACTTTGGGAGCCCGAGGCACGTGGAATACTTGCCCTCAGGAGTTCCAGACCAGCCTGGGCAATACAGGGAGACCTGTCTCTACCAAAAATACAAAAAATTAGGGCTGAGCGCAGTGGCTCATGCCTGTAATCCCAGAACTTTGGGAGGCAGAGGTGGGTAGATGACCTGAGGTGAGCAGTTCGAGACCAGCCTGACAAACATGGAGAACTCCCATCTCTACTGAAAATACAAAATTAGCTGGGCATGGTGGCACAGGCCTGTAATCCAAGCTACTCCAGAGGCTGAAGCAGGAGAATTGCTTGAACCTGGGAGGCACAGGCTGTCCTGAACCGAGATCGTGCCTCTGTACTCCAGCCTGGGAAACAACAGTGAAACTCCATCTCAAAAAAAAAAAGCCGGGTGCGGTGGCTCAAGCCTGTAATCCCAGCACTTTGGGAGGCTGAGGCGGGTGGATCACGAGGTCAAGAGATCGAGACCATCCTGGTCAACATGGCGAAACCCCGTCTCTACTAAAAATACAAAAAATTAGCTGGGCATGGCGGCACGTGCCTGTAATCCCAGCTACTCAGGAGGCTGAGGCAGGAGAATTGCCTGAACCCAGGAGGCGGAGATTGCGGTGAGCCGAGATCATGCCATTGCACTCCAGCCTGGGTAACAAGAGTGAAACTCCGTCTCAAAAAAAAAAAAAAAAAGAAAAGAAAAAAGCCAGACATGGCGGTTTGCACCTGTGGTCCTAAGGATTGAGGATTCCTTGAGCCTAGAATGCGGAGATTACAGTGAGCCTAGATTTCGCCACCACACTTCAGCCTCGGCCACAGAGCGAGACACTGTCTCAAAATAAAAGAAAGAAATAAAAGTGGCTTCTTCAACTTGGAAGATGCTCACTGTAATCTCCACGAAGAGTGAACTGCAGGAAATCACAGAGGAACAGGAGACAGGAGCAGCCTCAGGCCCTGCCTGGCGCTGGAGGTGCTCACTTCCCACCAGTTACCTGAACCTGCCTTCCCCCAGCAAAGTGCTTTTCTTCCTCAGTAAACACAGCCCCAGGCTCCAAGTCACACCCCAGGGGGCCCATTAGGAAAAGGCCCCGGCCTGCCGCTCCTCCCCCAAAGGAACACCTGGTGAGGACAAGGGGCTCCCTGTGCTTGGGAACCACAGAGAAATAATATGGGAAAATATTTCCACCGCACTTTGACTGAGAGTGAATCTGACAACCTGCTTTCGGGAATAAAGATTTCCTGTTGGACTCAGCCAGAGCCAGCCTGACAAGCTGGTTTCCATGGCAACTCGAGTGGCCCTCTGGACCTAAATGAACACCACGCAGCAAGCAAGGCAAACATGCTAACTGTACTGTCTCCGTCATTTAATGAAACCATCAAAAGACAATGACAGCATTAAAAAATATCTTACCTCTTGGCCGGCCGGCGCGGTGGCTCACGCCTGTAATCCCAGCACTTTGGGAGACTGAGGTGGGTGGATCACGAGTTCAGGAGATCAAGACCATTCTGTCTAACACCGTGAAACCCTGTCTCTACTAAAAGCCGGGCGTGGGGGCACGCGCCTTCAGTCCCAGCTACTCAGGAAGCTGAGGCAGAAGAATCACTTGAACCCGGGAGGCAGAGGTTGCAGTGAGCTAAGATCGCGCCACTGCACTCCAGGCTGGGCCACAGAGCAACATCTCAGAAAAAACAAACAAACAAACAAAAAAACCTCTCTCTTAAGAGCTCCTAGCTATTTTGTGGAGCAATTCGCAGCAATCACATCCCAGCTAGCTTAATACTTTGACAGTTGTTGGAGATAAATGAGCCGCCTCAAAGGCAAGGTTTGTGGGTCTTCTGCCTGGGCCTGGGTTCACTCAGTGGCCTTGTGACAGGCGGCACAGCCCAGGTAGAGGGGACACACAGAACAGGGGACCCCTGCCTCCTGGGGTGGAGATAGCACACAGATGTCACGCACACAGCCTATGACTCAGCCTGCTCCGGCCAGGGCCCCTGAGTGCTGCCTCTGCCCCCACCTGTGGTGCTTCTGTCTTTCAGAGGTCACCACCCATTCAGCCACTGCTCCCTGCATGCCCACTGAGTGCCAGGTGCTGTTCTTGGTGTTGGGGACTTCATGAGCTCAATCTCCAGGGGACACATGGGCAGAGACAGAGAAGGGCCTCAAGAGAATAAGAGAGACGGCTGAGAGAGATGGCAGAGAAACAGAAGCATAGACGAGGAGATGAGGGAGACAGAGGGGCAGATGAGACCCACAGTCACAGAGTGAGACGACAGCGGGCTCCAGGGCCTGACCGAGACATGGAGAAAAGCCCCAGCCTCGGGGCTCCAGGGCGTCCTTGCCCCAGCCCCTGCTACAGGGAAAAGGCTGAAGCTAGGAAGAACCTGGGGCACCGCCCAGCCCCACTGGGAAATGCCATCATGTGCTGGCATGCGTCTCCTGCCTTCTCCAAGCCTCCGTTTCCTCATGTGCACGACCGGGCAATGCCTGCCCTGATGTCCCCAGGGAGGAAGGGTGGGCATCTCCGTCCCTCTCTGAGGAGGAGAAGGCCGAGGGCTACGGAGGCTGGGACACAGCGGGGAGGCAGAGAAGGGCCCAGCACCTTCTGGGTGAGTCGGGGCTGCTCTCTCAAGTTCGCTCCTGCCCTGGCTCTGCACAGGAGCCTATGCCCCTCTGCCCACTCTCAGCCCTAAAGAGCAAGGAACTCCCAGGAATATGTCAGATAGCGCTGTCCTCATCAGAACGCCATCAGCCAGCATGTCCCTCAGCACTGAGGCCCAGTTCTTCCTGGTCACTCTACTCAGTCACTTACTCATTCATTCATTCATTTGCTCATCCACTATTGGTTCCATGTCTATTTCATGGGCCAGCAGAAGTGGCCAGGAAAGGGAAGTTCATGATCGGGGGAGCTTCCTCAAGCTCAGCACCCCTGACCTTTGGGCTGCATTGCTCCCTGTTGTGGGGACAGCAAGTCCCAGCCATGCTGAAAGTCTGAGAACACCTTTCTGTCTCTCTGCCTCTCTCCTCAGCATCCCAAACTGCTCAGCTGGGCTCGCTGGCTCACGCCTATAATCCCAGCACTTTGGAAGGCCGAGGCAGGTGGATCACCTGAGGCTCAAGAGTTCCAGACCAGACTGGCCATTCATAGTGAAAGCCCATCTCTACTAAAAATACAAAAATTAGCCAGGTGTGGTGGTGGGTGCCTGTAGTCCCAGCTACTGAGGAGGCTGAGGCAGGAGAATTGCTTGAACCTGGGAGGCAGAGGTTGTGGTGAGCCGTGATCATGCCACTGCACTCCAGCCTGGATGACAGAGCGAGACTCCATCTCAAAAAACAAAATAAAACAAAACAAAGTGCTCTTCGGGGCTTCCTCTGAGGCTATGGCCTCTGATGGACCACAGAGGGGACTTCCATGGCAGAAAATCTGCAACAAAGGTCCCTTCCTGGCATTTCTGAAGCCACCAACTGCTGCAGTAACAAAGGATGCTGCTGACAGGGCTCTCACAAGCAGGAAGGTCCTGGGAGGCAGCAGAGCGCAGAGGGCCAGCCCTCCTCTCCAGGAAGGGGCCGAGGCTCCACCCCCCGAAAGGTCAGAAGAGCTGTGACCTCACAGGAGGTGGCAGGGAACCCCAAGGCCCCTAACTCGGAGAACACACCCTGCCCTGAGCCTCTCCTGAGTGCGGGTGCCACTCCCTGAGGTGGGAGGTGCCCACAGGCCCTCTTTCTGTGCCGCGGCCCGAGAGAGCATCCAAGGGTCCCTCTGAAAGACCTCATGGCGCAACGGTGGCGCATCTCACTCCAAGGGTCCCTCTGAAGTCAGTGGTGCTCGCTGAGGGAGGGGCAGGCCATGGGAGAGCAGGAAAGGCCCGCTGACCACCTTCCACCCCAGGCCCTTGCTCAGCTAAATCTGTCCACCTGCCGAAGCTGAGCTGACACACTCATTTAATCACCAACCCTGCTGAGGTCCTCAGAACGTTCTAGATGGCTAACTGTACTTGCTACCCGCCCATCATGGGGAAGAGGACTCGAGCCCCTGAAATGGCTGTGAGCTGGCACTCCACAGGGCAGCACTGCTGAGGAACAGGGTGGGGAAGAGGAGGAAAGCAGCCGAGCCTCTCTTCTGCATGGGAGGACTGGCAACCTGGGAGGTGGCAGGGAGAGCGCCAGGGGCAGAGGAAGGGGCTTCGTCTTCCCCACGCCCTCACCTCCTGTCCCCAGCCGGGGTATAAAAAGGAGCACTGAGCTGGTGAGCACTGGAGTCGCCCTCTCCTGCAGCGCCCAGTGGGAAAGAGAAGGGGGTTTCCATGGTTACCACAGCCAAGGAGCGGAATATTCAGATGAAAGCAGAGGCAAAGGTTCACTCAGTGAGCTTCTATCTAAGCCTGATTTCTGGGGCCCAGGGCAAGTCCCCTGGGAGCAGGCAGTGTCCTCTCCGGAGCCAACACCTGCCTGTGCTTGAGAAGGGAAGGCAGGTCAGGGAGACCCCCAGAGGGGCAGACGGACGGTATGCACCAACCGGCCTCACAGCCCACGCCCAGGCCCTGCCATGGATGAGCTGGCCACAGGCAACAGGACGGGCAGCAGTGATGTACTCAGGCCAAACGCGAATGGCAGGGTTGAGTCCTAGTCTGGGTGCCTGAACTGGCTGAAACTGGGCTCTTTTTTGCTGGGAGGACGGAGTCTCACTCTGTTGCCAGCGCCAGAGTGCAATGGTGTGACTTGGGCTCACTGTAACCTCCACCTCCCAGGTTCAAGCAATTCTTCTGCCTCAGCCTTCCAAGTGGCTGGAATTACAGGTACGTGCCACCATGCTTTGCCTGATTTTTTGTATTTTTAGTAGAGACAGGGTTTCACCATGGTGGTCAGGCTGGTCTCGAACTCCTGATCTCCACCGGCCTTGGTCTCCCAAAGTGCTGGGATTACAATGTGAGCCACCGCGCCCGGCCAACTTGGGCTCATTTCTTAACCCCTCTGTGCCCGTTTCCTGTCTGCAAAATCAGGGCAATGGACGGAGCTGCTCCCAGGGCCAAGGTGGGAGGTGAGGGAGGTCTCAGTGGTGGGAAAGGGGCCAGGTCCTGGGGCATCCTCTGCCCTTGGGAGGGAAACAGCTGTGTGGCCACAGCCCTGAGTACTCCAGTCACCACTGTCATTCCCAGAAGTACCTGTGAGGATGTTTTCAGACAACACGTTGACCTGCACCTCCACCGAGTGCTTAGAGGTATAGGTGATCTCCGCGCTGACGTGGGCCACCTCCCCGATGCACATGGGTGACAGGAAGTCGGTGCGCTCAACCCGAGCCAGTGCAGCCACACAGCGCTCCTGTGGAGATAGAGGCAGCGGTCAGCCAGGCCGGCCAGCCCAGCCTTGAGAGCCCTGTCCCGGACACGCCCCCTGGAAACTGCCTTTGCTTTTGTTCCCCACTGTGAAAGCAACCAATTTGCTGCAATTTACTGGCACTGTGCATTCCTCAACGCAGAGGCACAGGCCTGCTGAGGAGCCCTGGAGAGCCCAGCTCAGAGCTACTGCTGCAGGCGATTCCCCGGGCGGTGGGATCGCCAAGGCTTATTCCTGTTTTCTGATGTTCTCACAATAAACATGCATTATTTGCATAATAAAAAGTGAAAAAACACATACAGACTGATTATGGAAAATTTGGGAAATACAGGAAAGTAGAAACAAAGGGGAACACCACTAAAGGGGAACACCACTCCTCCCGCTCCAAGATAGCCACGGTTACTATTTTGGGATCTTTCTTTCCAGGCTTTTTTCCCAAGAATGGGGGTTTTGTGGCCTCACTTGTATGTCTGCCTGGCTCATTTCGCAGTTTTAGTCTAATATAGCTGGGCAAAAACTAAATATACACCTTCACCTTCTGATTCTTTTTCATTCAACATGGGAAGAACAATCTGCCCGTGTTGTGACACATTCTTCACGATCACTATTCTTTTCTAGGCTGAGTACGGTGGCTCATGACTCTAACCTCAGAACTTTGGGAAGCCGAGGCGGGCTGATCATGTGAGGCTGGGCGTTGGAGGCCAGGAGTTCGAGACCAGCCTAGCCAATATGGTGAAACTCTGTCTCTACTAAAAATACAAAAATTAGCCAGGTGTGGCGGTGCACGTCTGTAATCCCAGCTACTCGGGAGGCTGAGGTATGAGAATCGGTTGAACCTGGGAGGTGGAGGTTACAGAGAGCCAGTATCGCGCCACTGCACTCCAGCCTGGGTGACAGAGTGAGACTCCCTTTCATCTCAAAAACAAACAAACAAAAACCCCGCTAAATGTACACTCTCACCTCAAAAAAAAAAAAAAAAAAAAGAAAATGACTTTCAGGCTGAGTGCAGTGGCTCACACGTGTAATCCCAACACTTTGGGAGACCAAGGCAGGTGGATCACGAGGTAAAGAGATTGAGACCATCCTGGCCAACATGGTGAAACCCTATCTCTACTAAAAATACAAAAATTAGCTGGGCGTGGTGGCACAGCCTGTAGTCCTAAGTACTTGGGAGGCTGAGGCAGGAGAATCGCTGGAGCCTGGGAGGCGGAGCAGAGATCCCACCTCTGCACTCCAGTCTGGCCAGCCAGGTGGAACTGAACATTCTTCTTCTTCTGTTAGCGATTTGGGCCATCCCCAGTTGACCCTCATTATGAACAATGCTGTGATGGGCACCCTTAAAGCCACTGTCTGCATTTGGAATTATTTTCTGGGCCCAAGGATAAAGACTTTTATACATGATCCCAAGTGTTTCTCAGGACAGCAGTAACTGGCTTGGTGTTTGGCACCTCACAGCACCCTGAGCAACACTCAGAACCGACTTATTCCTCATCTTCGGTGAATAAATGACACAAAAGATGACCTTGTGTTTGAGCCGTGGGGAATGTGAGCCTCCGGTTTCCAGAGGACTGCCATGACTTTCTACTGTGACAACCGCTTCCTTAGGATGTTAACAGCATGACACAGAGGTGCTCTCAGGACTCACGGGTGGGCAGGGGGCAGGTGAGGGAGGGGCCTGCCTGCCAGCCCCGGCAGCCCTGGTCCAGGGGATCTTCACAGCAACCCGACAAGGGGTGACACATTGGGCAAGCGTCCCAGGGCACGCAGAGTACATGGCGGTCACTTCAAGCCCTGGTGTGCGCATCTGTGCTCTCCCACCTACCACCTGCTGCCTCCAAAGCACCAGCGTGCAGCACACCCACCTGCACGAGGACCCACCGGGGTCGGGCAAACATGCAAGCTCCAGGGCCCACCACAAACCCAGCACCTGCTTCTTTGGAGGTGGCTGGGAGCCTCTGTCTGAACCCTCTCCCCAGTCTGTTGCACCCAGGCACAGGGACACTGTGGGTGCATCTCGGGCTGGGCAGGAAAAGTTCTAGAGCTGGCCAGGGTGGCCCGAGGCTTCCCCATTCTGGTTTGCACAGGCTTGTGCCCTGCACACCCTGCCCTCCTCTCAACAGGTCACAGTAAAGTGATGTCTGGAACTGTCTTTCCCCACCAAGTCAATGTACGTGGCAATGGCACCACCCACTGGCCAAAGGTTGCTAGGGCAGGGCTGCACTGAGCCAGGTAAGAATTAGCATCGCCAGCTGGGCACAATGGCTCATTCCAGCACTTTGGGAGGCCAAGGCAGGTGGATCACCTGAGGTCAGGAGTTCAAGACAGGCCTGACTAACATGGTGAAACCCCGCCTCTACCAAAAATATAAAATTAGCCGGGCATGGTGGTGCATGCCTGTAATCCCAGCTACTCTGGAGGCTGAGACAAGAGAATCACTTTAACCCTGAAGGAGGAGGTTGCAGTGAGCCGGGATAGTGCCATTGCACTCTAGCCTAGGCAACAAAAGCGAAACTCTCAAAAAAATAATAATAATAATTAATCCTATTTGACTTAAGCCAAAAAAAAAAAAAAAAGAATTAGGCACAGCCTCTGGGCAGGGCAATGCCCATCTTGGATTGAGCCAAACACTATTTGCAAGACCTGAAAGTGGAATTAAGCCAAATGTGTGTTGCTCAAGGGTGGCTAAGTACATTATGGTGTGCTCTGCCGACACAGACCAAACACCTACGCACTTGGGGCTCTGGATGGCAGTGACCTTCCACCTCCCTGCTCTGCAGCTGTTTTCTGGCAACATCTGTGTGGCCTCTCAGTGCTGGGTGTGCAGAGGGGAGGTCAGAGGGGCCTGGGTTCTGGCTGCGGGATGAATAAGTAAATGAGGCCACGCCATTTACGGTTCTGTGTGAGAGGCGTCCCGAGGGACTCTCAAGGTGCTCTCAAGACAGCCCCTCGATGTGAAGTGGGGCAACAACTTCAGATGAGAGGCATTTGAGCTGAGGACAGGGGAAGGTGGGGGGAGCATTGGTACTACAGGGAGAGGAAAGAGCGGCAGAGTGGGAGGGAGGTGGGAGGGAGCCACCAGAACACAGGGACACAGTAGGAGAATGTAAAAAGGTCAGCAGAGCCAGGCTGCCCAGCCCTGTGGGCCAGGGTGAAGGGCGGGTGGAGGTACAAAAGCAGGTTCACTCAAAGAGAGTGACTTGAGCTGGAGGAAGGCAAAGGCTCCTCCCCACGCATTCCCTCGGGACGCCTCTCAGGTAGAACCATTCAGAACCTTCCCCATGGTGCCGACACCCAGGCCTGGCATGGGGACACCTGGCGATGGCTTTAAGCCTGCCCTTCCCAGGGCAGAAGGCCGCTGATGACCCTAGAGTTTGGTTCTCTCCCAGCTTAAAATAACAAAGAAGAAAATTAGGGCTGGGCATGGTGGCTCACACCTGTAATCCCAGCACTTTGGGAGGCCAAGGCGGGTGGATCACGAGGTCAGGAGTTCAAGACCAGCATAGCCAACATGGTGAAACCTCATCTTTACTAAAAATACAAAAATTAGCTGGGCATGGTGGCGTATGCCTGTAATCCCAACTACATGGGAGGCTGAGGCAGGAGAATCGCTTGAACCCAGGAGGCGGAGGTTGTGAGCCGAGATCTTGCCACGGAACTCCAGCCTGGGCAACAAGAGCAAAACTTTGTCAAAAAAAAACAAACAAACAAAAAAAAAAAAAAACCCAGTGTCTGTCTCTACAGGTGGCTGGGAAGACTACACAGGGAGAGCCCAGCATGGCCACGGGCTCATCACAAGTGCTCACTCAGTGGAAGCTCTCCACAACAGTGACGGTGCCAGGTGGGAGTTCCCAGCATTCAGCAGATGCCTGAGCATGCTCTATGCCTCAGCCTGGGGAAACCAAGGTCAGAAGTCCTGCCCTCGTGGGGCTACCACTCTACATAAGAATACCAGGTCAGGAGCAGAGCAGCAACTGGAAGGAAGGTGGGGGCCAGGCCACTGGGGGGCATGGCTGGATGTTGTTTTGTTTTTGTAAAAACAGGGTCTCACTTTGTCACCCTGGCTAGAGTGCAGTGATGTGATCTCAGCTCACTGTAGCCTCGACCTTCCTGGGCTCAGGTGATCCTCCTGCCTCAGCCTCCCGAGAAGCTGGGCCTACAGGCACACACCACCACACCCAGCTAATTTTCGTAGTTTTTGTAGAGACAACGTTCTGCCATGTTGTCCAGGCTGGTCTCAAACTCCTGAGCTCCAGTGACCTGCCCACCTCAGCCTCCCAAAGTGCTGAGATGACACTGCTTTTATTCAGAACCTGGAAGAAGTAAGGGCAGGGCCCTGCGGATATCTGGAGAAAAGCCAGTGTGGCCAGAGGGAGAGCTGACAAAGAGATGCAGGAGGTGAGGTCCCCAAGCCGCGATAGGCAGGGACAGGGACTTGTGTGGATGCGCCTTTGACTCTAGAGGACTCGGTGTGGGCAGCTCTGTGCTCTGATTTCACATCCCCCTGGCTACTGCTGGAGAGCAAATCAGGCGGCAGGAACCAGCAGGGTGACACATCAGGAGGCTGCTGCAGTGATCAGGTGATCTGGAGAGCAGCGCCACTGGACCCACGTGAGGGTGGGCCTGAGGGCTCTGCTCAGATCTGGACTTCCCGGAACGGAGAGCAGCAGGATCTGCTCCCAGAGTCTCATAAGTATGGGAGGGAGAGGGGTCGACGGAGGCTCCAGGATTTGAGCCTGGGCACCTGGGGGTGGCAGAGACCATTTACGGAGGGGAGGGAGGCTGGGAGAAGCAAGCATTCAGATGGGGCCGACCAAGAAGCCGCAGTCAGAGACAGAATCCTAGGACTGGGCTGTGGTATTAAAGCCACGGACTGAATGGTGCCACTAGGTGAGCGTGGATGTGGCTGGGGGAGGGGTTCCCTGCCCCATCCAGGGCCCCGGCAAAGCTCTTCAGGTCAGCATCCAGGCACCTGGGACTATTCTCACCCCCATGCCCTGGGGCTGCCTGGAGCTCACAGACCCCTCCTGAGCCTAGAATTTCAGGATCACCATCCTGGTAACCAGTAGCCCAGAGGCTTCTCCAAGTCCATGTGTCAAAACTGTCCCTCCAGCAGCCCCAGACCTGGAGAAAGAACAAGGAGGGGCGAGTGTTCAAAGCACAGGTTTGAGGCAGAGTCACAGCCCAGACCTACCACCTGCTTTCAGTGTCCATCTTCTCCTGCCAGGGACCCTCACAGTCTCTCTCTTGACGGGTGCAGCAGGAACTTGGGACTTGGCCCTCACCACTGCCCAAGGCTCTCAGGCTCAGGCCCGTCCTCCCCACGGCCACCAGAGGGCGCTCTCTGAACGTGACCAAGCTGCACTGGACCCAGCTGGGCCAGCAAGCCCCTCCTAAACCAGGCGCTGCCAACAAACCCACTCCAGAAGCCTCTACCATATGACTGTCCCGCATGTCCACATCCAACCATCGGCACTCACTGTGGCTTGGTTCATTCTACACATGAACACACACATTCACACATGCATGTGTGCACGTATGTTCGCGTTCCCGAGCGCGCTTGCGCGCAGCACACACACACACACACACACAGCTTCCACTCCACTGGAACACACACTGCTCACTGTTCCAGGCTGAACACGTGCGCCATGGTCCACATGTCTGTGTCCCTGCAAAATTCCTGTGTTAAAATCCTAACCCCCAGGCCGGGCGCGGTGGCTCACGCCTGTAATCCCAGCACTTTGGGAGGCCGAGGCAAGTGGATCACGAGGTCAAGAGATCGAGACCATCCTGGTCAACAGGGTGAAACCCCGTCTCTACTAAAAATACAAAAAATTAGCTGGGCATGGTGGTGCAGTGCCTGTAATCCCAGCTACTCAGGAGGCTGAGGCAGGAGAATTGCCTGAACCCAGGAGGCAGGAGGTTGCGGTGAGCCGAGATCGCGCCATTGCACTCCAGCCTGGGTAACAAGAGCGAAACTTCCGTCCCAAAAAAAAAAAAAAATCCTAACCCCCAAGGGGATGGTAGTAAGAGGCAGGGCCTTTAGGAGTGAGGGGATGGGGACAGAAGCCTCACAAATGGGATTAGTATCCTATAAAAGGGCCTGAGAGAGCCCCCCCCCTGCCAAGTGAGGACACACAAGGAGTAACGTGACGTCTATGAACCAGGAAACGGGCCCTCAACAGACACGGAATCTGCTGGCACCCTGGTCCTGGCCTTCCAGCCTGCAGGGCTGTGACAAATGCATTTCTGTTGTTCACAAGCCACCAGGCTGTGGTCTTTGTCACTGGCAGCCCAGGCTGACAGAGCCAGTAGGCCACTTCCTGCATCTCACCGGTGTGCTCAGAGCTAACAGCCTCCGCTGGGCCCTGATCTCTGACGTTGCTTCCACTTAGCCTCTTGATAGAGTGGCATCGTGCCCGTGCCTACGGTGGGGACCTGCACCTCACACTCCCACAAGACCCTGACTGAGTCTTCCTCCTCTCTGTCTCCCTGGAGGCCACAGCAGGTGTGCTGACCAAGCCCTGTAGTGTGGAGGCCACAGCTTCAACACCAAGGCAGATGCCCTGTCCTCAGCACCCAAGGGCTGGCTTCTCCCCAACAGCTGACCTTTAGAGAAAATGTTCCCTCCCCAGGGCTGGGGATGGCTGAATGTCCTAGAGCAGCCCTGAGGTTGACACTAGAAATTGTACCCCTTGTCCCCAGCTGTGGGGTCACAGGGCCCTCCCCAACAATTTGGGGACAGGTGAAGAGCTGGCCCCTCATGGGCACAGTGGTACCAGGCCTGTGAGCTTCACAGCCAGGAAGTGGCCAAGGCACAGAGAGCCATGCCATTTGCCACGGCCACTGGGGTTGGTCAGGGCAGAGGTGGGATCTCCCCTGAGTCTGCCGTCTGGCCCCTGTGTCTCAGCTCCTGGCCATGACAATGAATTCCACCTGACGCAGGCAGGGCGTGCTTCTGATCAGGGCCAGTGTGGTGGGGGACTCAGCGTGGTGGGGAGTGGTGGAGGGAGGGCCTGTCCGCTGGCTTGACGGTTCATCTCTGGTGGGTTCCCACACCCCCTGGCTGAGGCCAAAACCAGTGCAGAACTACTTGGGCCACTTCCCCCAATGTCCCCAAGGCCCAGTGCACAAGGGGAAGGAAGGTTGCGGGCCTGGCTCCCCAGGAACTCCTGTCCTGAACCCACACTGCTGTGGCCCCCAGGGCTCAGAGGTGCAGGGCCCAGACTCTTACCCCGTTCTGGCTGTTGCAATGCCGGGTACTGATAATGGCACCCGCCTCCTCGATCATCTTCAGGATGGTCCCCCCGTGGACATTGCCGGCCACATTGGCGTCATCTGGCCGCATGATCCTAGGGCAGAGGAGAAGCAGTGTGAGGCCGCTGGAGAGGACGTCATTCGTGCAACTGTGACAACCCAAGGACGGGAGAAGGTCCCCGAAGGGCTCGATGGCTCCCAGAAGAAAGAGAAAGAACCTTCCACGTGTTTGGGCTCTTCCTAGGTGGTGTGCGCACAGGGTTGTGTGCCATCTGCCAGGCCACAGAAGGGGCACTGAGATGCTGTTTGCATGAGAGAGACAGAGGACAGAGGGGCACTTTCTCCCCTTGAAGCCGCACGTCCCCAGCCTGCCCTGGCAGGGAAGGGCTGATGGTGAAGACCTTCAGCAAAGCCACAGGGCAAGGAGATGGCAACTCAGCCCTTGGGGTTCCTGGTGACCAACACACAGACTGTCACCCTAGAAGCAAACTCCCGGGACGCACTCCCACATCACGAGTCCCAGAGGAGGGAACCACGGCTTTCTGAGAACTAGACATGAGGCGCAGCTTCAAGACCCTGGGCCCTGTCAGCAGGGGAGCGCCTGCCCACTGTGTGCTGCACTCCTGCGCAGGGGCAGTGCCAAGTCAGGCCCTGGATGAGGGCAGGGAGCTCTCCCAGGTCAAAGAGAATGGAAATGCCACCTCACTTCCCCAAACAGGGACAACTTCATCCTTGCCGTGAGCAGCCCGCAGCACGGGAGCTCCACGAAATCTCTGGATTCCCAACAAGCCAGCTTGGCAGTCCTGCCAGGGCACGTTGCCTGGCACCTTCCCAGACAGCACCCGGCTTGATAAAACCCACCTTCACAGGCCAAGACCGGGAGACAAATAACAGACAGCGGGCACAGATCCAGGGTGCAGCTTCCACCTGTGGCTCAAGCAGCCTGGCCGGCCCTGCGGCCAGTGTGGGGGCCCCGGGGGCAGCAGCTTCCGGGTCTGCATCTCCTCCCTGCTCCTCCAGCAGCTCTGAGGCTGAGCAAGTCATGCTCCAAGAATATTCCTGGCTCTGGCTCTTACTCACTGGGTGACCTGGGCAGGCTGTCAAAACCCTCACTCCTCCACATGCTCATCTGTGCAATGGGCAGAACGACAGCAGATCGAACTCTCATTCCACGACAGCACTGGCACACAGCACTTGGTAGATAGTCCACAAGTTAGCTGGGAGAATGTTTCGCTATTTGGTAAGTATTCAGCCAAGCTGAAGCTCCAAGTCAGAAGCTCCAAGAAACCCAACATCTGGGCACAGGATGCCACTTCTAGAGCAAATGACCACTGATGTCCTCTAGCAACTGACAGCTGCCCATCCCCAGTACCATCCCTCCACCCTGGGTAAGAGTCTGTTATACAAACCGGGGCCCATTTAGGCCAACTGGCTCTGACCCTGAGGTCAGGCAGGACCTGGGGTTCTGTGGCAGCTCAGGGACAGTGGCCTGCGGAGCAGCCAGCACGGCATGACACATGGTAGCTGGGGGATCCCCTAGGATGGGAGAAGGTCCCCAAAGGGCTTGATAGTTCCCAGAGGAAAGAGAAAGAACCTTTCACGTGTTTGGGCTTTTCCTAGGTGGTGTGGCTTCGCAGGTGTTCATTTAAAAATACCTTTATTTTTAAAAGTTGAACTTACTCTATGAACAGCTTTTGGGTCTTTTTTCTGAGTTACAAGGTGGCGAATTATAAATCACAAAATGACTCTATCCACCTCTTCCCTTTAAATCTGTCTTCCCTTTAGTAGAAAGGGCCTTCCCTGCACCAGCTGCAGGGGCCAGAAGGTCCCTTTCCATGAAAGCCTGTCCTGGGGACACCAGCTGAGGCTGTGGGTGGGTGTGGAGAGCAGGGCCCAGCCCCTGGTTCTAGAGCAGTGAGGAAACAGCAGCCCAGCGTTTCCCAGGAGCAGCCTGAATGACTGCAGCCCGCCTCGCTCCGCCTGTCTGTGAAGTGCAGCCACACTCGTCAGGCTGGTCCCCAGGGCCAGGAAGAGGAAGCGCGGGCCAAGGGCCACGGGCCACAGCGGCGGAGGAAGTGCTTTCATGCCATGGGCACTGAAGACATGACAGGTTTAGCGGGTAGCCTTTGAGACACAAGGCCAGGGTAGAGCCTGGAGCCACCTGGCAGCAAGTGAGGAGCTGGCACTTGGCTCTGGGCCATCAGAACACAACAGGAACTGCAGACTGCACGCCAGCCGGCTCCCATGAGCCGGGCCACCTTCCTTCGGCACCCGGGTCCTGCTCCAAGGACCATCCTAACTCCCCAGCTGGCCACCCAGGAAGCCAGCCTCTGCCTTCTCGGTTAGACACAAACAACCCTCTCCCCCACAGGACCTTATCCTGCCTGGGGACTGTGCTGTCACCTCCAAAGCATGAGGCCCAAAGCCCAACTCAATTGCCCCTCCCCCCTTGCCCCAAATCAGACACCTTCTCTCCGAGCCGGGGCAACCAGTGAGTCCCCGCCTCAGCTGGGATTCCTTCCCATCCACCACCAGCTGCTCCACACCTGGTCCCTCCCTCTTTCCCTCCCCACCTCCCTCATTCCTTCCAAACAGCTCAGGAACAGCTGGGCCCCACCAGCCTCCAGGACCATAAACAGTCCTGTCACTCTCTCAGGCCCCCACCCCATGGTCTGGCCAAGGCCAAGCCTGTCCAAGACAGGGTCATGACTGCCTCCGTCCCCACGCAGGCAGGGGTGAGTCCCAGGGGAGCCGGAGAAGCTGCGGCCTCTCACCAGAGACTTTGTTTTCCCGTTTCTAATGAAGACACCGAGACCGAAAGCACTTCACGCTCCTCTGTACTATTTTTTTTGTTTTGTTTTTTGAGATAGGGTCTCACTCTGTCACCCAGGCTGAAGTGCAGTAGCACGATCTTGGCTCACTGCAAGCTGCGTCTCCTGGGTTCAAGTGATTCCTCTGCCTCGGCCTCCCGAATAGCTGGGATTACAGGCATGCACCACAACACCTAGCTAACTTTTATATTCTTTTTTCTTTTTGAGACAGAGTTTCGCTCTCGTCACACAGGCTGGAGTGCAATGGCGCGATCTCGGCTCACCGCAACCTCCGCCTCCTGGGTTCAGGCAATTCTCCTGCCTCAGCTTCCTGAGTAGCTGGGATTACAGGCATGCACCACCATGCCCAGCTGATTTTTTCATATTTTTAGTCGAGAGGGGGTTTCACCATGTTGATCAGGATGGTCTCAATCTCTTGACCTCGTGATCCACCCGCCTCGGCCTCCCAAAGTGCTGGGATTACAGGCTTGAGCCACTGCGCCCGGCTAACTTTTATATTCTTAGTAGAGACAGAGTTTGCCATGTTGGCCAGGCTGGGCTCGAACTCCTGCCCTCAGGTGATCTCCATCTCGGCCTCCTAAAGTGCTGAGTTTACAGGCATGAGCCACTGCACCTGGCCCCTCTTTACTATTAAAAAATTGAAATACAGGCTGGGCATGGTGGCTGCTAGGGAGGCTGAACTGGGAGGATAATGAGCCCAGGAAGGGGACATTGCAGTGAGCCTGACTGCACCACCACACTCAAGCCTGGGTGACAGAATGAGATGCTGTCTCAAAAGAAAAAAAAAACTGAAATATATTTGTCTGCTGGGCATGGTGGCGAACACCTATAATCCCAACACTTACCCGAGGCGGGTAGATCACTTGAGGTCAGGAGTTCAAGACCAGCCTGGCTAAGATGGCAAAACCCCGTCTCTACTAAAACTACAGAAATTAGCTGGGCGTGGTAGTACATGCCTGTAGTACCACACAATAGCTGGGACGCTGAGGCCGGGGAATTGCTTGAACCAGGGAGGTGGAGGTTGCAGTGAACCACACCACTGCACTCCAGCCTGGGCGAAAGCAAGACTGTCACTAAAAAGAAAAAAGAAAAGAAATACATTTTGTCTGGCCAGGCGCAGTAGCTGATGCCTGTAATCCCAGCAATTTGGGAGGCCGAGGTGGGTGGATCACTTGAGGTCAGGAGTTCGAGACCAGCGTGGCCAATATGATGAAACTTGGTCTCCACTAAAAATACAAAAAAGTGAACTGGGCATGGTGGTTGGCGCCTGTAGTCCCAGCTACTCAGGAGGCTGAAGTAGGAGAATAACTTGAACCTGGAAGGCGGAGGTTGAAGTGAGCCAAGATGGTGCCACTGCACTCTAGCCTGGGTGACTGAGCAAGACTCTGTCTCTCAAGAAAAAGAAATACATTTGTCTCTCACTAGTATTCCTGGGGTTAAAAATTACCTGAAACTAAAGAAAGAAAGATGTGAACATCACACACAGGCAGCTCAGGGAGCGGCACAGGCCTGGCTAGGTTCTGGGGGACGGTTTGCTGCTCAGTCTGGCATACTATCCCTCCCTCAGCCCCCACCAGAAGCCTGCACTTCTTCCCCCTCCTCTGACCCCAGAAACTTCAGGGAAAGAGAGAAAGCTGCCCAGGATGGGGCCTTCTCTTCGTGGCTGCCTTCTCTCTCCAAGGCTGGCCCCGAGCGCTGCCCGCACTGTCCCCTACTGGAGGGCCCTGGTAGGCAGTGGCCCCTGCTGACTGCAGGTCTGGAATGTCACCTGCACCCACAGCCCTGCCCTTTTTCTGTTCCAGCTGCTCCTGTCCCAGATCAGAACCATGTGTGTCTATCCCTTGTAGCCTGAGTGGCCAGTGCTGGGGCCCGAGGCGAATGGAAGCTGATGCTGCCGCCCCATTCTCAGCCACCTCTGGAGGGAGCATCCGGCTGATGAGCAGGGCTCTGAGGAAGCTGAGCACACATGAATCAAGGAGCCACTCCCACAAGGGTGCGGCCCCACCTGATCTCCGGGAAAGCTTCCCAGAGGAAGTGACACCTTGGCCGAGTCCTGGAGGGTGACCCAGAAGCAGAGGTCAGAGAAGGCTACAAGGAGAGGGAGTGTTTTGGGGCCCAAGGCCAGGAGTGCCCAGTGAGCTCCAGAAACAGAAAGCAAACCCACAAAGCTGGCACATGGCCCAAAAGCGGGTGAAGAAGAGAAGGCCTGAGACGGGGACGCTGCTGTCACACAAGGCCTCAGGGCTGGGACAATGTCTGGCTCC